CTTGAATTCTGCTGCCTGTATTTTGCATGTCTTGAATTCTGTTGCCCGTATTTTGTATTTGTTGAATTCTGTTGCCTGTATTTTGCATGTTTTGAATTCTGCTGCCTGTATTTTGCATGTCTTGAATTCTGTTGCCTGTATTTTGCATGTTTTGAATTCTGCTGCCTGTAAATCCTATGTTTTGAATTCTGCTGCCTGTAAATCCTATGTTTTGAATTCTGCTGCCTGTAATTTGCATGTCTTGAATTCTGTTGCCTGTATTTTGCATGTTTTGAATTCTGCTGCCTGTAAATCCTATGTTTTGAATTCTGCTGCCTGTAATTTGCATGTCTTGAATTCTGTTGCCTGTATTTTGCATGTTTTGAATTCTGCTGCCTGTAAATCCTATGTTTTGAATTCTGCTGCCTGTAATTTGCATGTCTTGAATTCTGTTGCCTGTATTTTGCATGTTTTGAATTCTGCTGCCTGTAAATCCTATGTTTTGAATTCTGCTGCCTGTAAATCCTATGTTTTGAATTCTGCTGCCTGTATTTTGCATGTCTTGAATTCTGTTGCCTGTATTTTGCATGTCTTGAATTCTGTTGCCTGTATTTTGCATGTTTTGAATTCTGCTGCCTGTAAATCCTATGTTTTGAATTCTGCTGCCTGTAATTTGCATGTCTTGAATTCTGTTGCCTGTATTTTGCATGTTTTGAATTCTGCTGCCTGTAAATCCTATGTTTTGAATTCTGCTGCCTGTAATTTGCATGTCTTGAATTCTGTTGCCTGTATTTTGCATGTTTTGAATTCTGCTGCCTGTAAATCCTATGTTTTGAATTCTGCTGCCTGTAATTTGCATGTCTTGAATTCTGTTGCCTGTATTTTGCATGTTTTGAATTCTGCTGCCTGTAAATCCTATGTTTTGAATTCTGCTGCCTGTAAATCCTATGTTTTGAATTCTGCTGCCTGTATTTTGCATGTCTTGAATTCTGTTGCCTGTATTTTGCATGTCTTGAATTCTGCTGCCTGTATTTTGCATGTCTTGAATTCTGTTGCCCGTATTTTGTATTTGTTGAATTCTGTTGCCTGTATTTTGCATGTTTTGAATTCTGCTGCCTGTATTTTGCATGTCTTGAATTCTGTTGCCTGTATTTTGCATGTTTTGAATTCTGCTGCCTGTAAATCCTATGTTTTGAATTCTGCTGCCTGTAAATCCTATGTTTTGAATTCTGCTGCCTGTAATTTGCATGTCTTGAATTCTGTTGCCTGTATTTTGCATGTTTTGAATTCTGCTGCCTGTAAATCCTATGTTTTGAATTCTGCTGCCTGTAATTTGCATGTCTTGAATTCTGTTGCCTGTATTTTGCATGTTTTGAATTCTGCTGCCTGTAAATCCTATGTTTTGAATTCTGCTGCCTGTAAATCCTATGTTTTGAATTCTGCTGCCTGTATTTTGCATGTCTTGAATTCTGTTGCCTGTATTTTGCATGTTTTGAATTCTGCTGCCTGTAAATCCTATGTTTTGAATTCTGCTGCCTGTAAATCCTATGTTTTGAATTCTGCTGCCTGTAATTTGCATGTCTTGAATTCTGTTGCCTGTATTTTGCATGTTTTGAATTCTGCTGCCTGTAAATCCTATGTTTTGAATTCTGCTGCCTGTAAATCCTATGTTTTGAATTCTGCTGCCTGTAATTTGCATGTCTTGAATTCTGTTGCCTGTATTTTGTCTCTGTATGTGTTTAAAAGTTGGCCAACTGTCTCTGTGTTTTGAAGGTAGATAAACATCTCTGTATGTTTCTAGAAGTTAGCTTTCTCTGTGTTCAGAAGGTACATAAACATCTCTGTATGTTTCTAGAAGTTAGCTTTCTCTGTGTTCAGAAGGTACATAAACATCTCTGTATGTTTCTAGAAGTTAGCTTTCTCTGTGTTCAGAAGGTACATAAACATCTCTGTATGTTTCTAGAAGTTAGCTGTCTCTGTGTTTAGAAGGTACATAAACATCTCTGTATGTTTCTAGACGTTAGCTGTCTCTGTGTGTCCTATGAATGATATTGTCAGCAGTTGTCTTTGAAGAGAAGCAGCTAACACAGAATCATATGGCTAGTTACCTTGTTCAACAGACTACAATACGCTCCTCCAGACATCTCAACGTAGATATTATTGATAGACAATATAAATCCATAGACACGCTTTTGTCAACTTTGTTTCTATTTTAGTCACATAGGTCAAAAGGAGAATTGTTTGTAAATAGATAGTGCTGTAAATATCTTCCCTTATTAAACCATCAGAATCTATTTCACTGTATCTTCTCCTTATACAACAATGAATCTTTATCATAAAAACAGCTCTAAGCAGGAAACATTTGGATTAAGTATTCTGTTTTGCCCTCAGATACCATCATCCATGGCCTTGAAGATAAATTATTTAAGATGGCAAAATGGGATTCAAGATCATTATACTAGCTTTCTAGAATATTATTGTTTGACATGAAACAATCAAATTTTTGATGAATATTGAGTCAGAATCTGATCAGCTGATATTATGCAATATTTTTAAGGTAAACAATAAGATACTTGTAATACACATTAATGAGAGAAGCTGTTTCTGCGACAGTTTAAAGTGATCTTACCCACAGCCCTGTCATCAGTTATCCGTAAGGCTGCATCAAGTTCTCCATAAAAACTAGATCTTAATGTCTGCTTGTCTGAATAGTGTGACACAATGTTAGCACTTTAAGACCTATTACTCTAGCCAGACAATGTAGGTAATCACCCTTACTTTTCTTATCTCAGTCTTAGTCTCCTAAATCTTCGTCCGATATGAAACCAGAAAGAGGTTGTTAAGACATGATTGGTCTCCAATCTCATGCATAGAACTAAGATGTTGTCAGATGTGACCTTTGACCCTTAAACTTTGTCTACCTTTGACCCTTACACTTTGTCCACCTTAACCTGAACCATCAATATCACTACTATTTTTTTATCCTAAAACAGCTGATATCAGAACAATGTGTATCAAAATGGTTTTTCTTAAACACCACTCAACAGGTCCTAGGATTGATGACCTTGAACTTGAGGATGATACCACAGTTGCACGTTAGTTTAGAGGCAAGAAAAATTAAATGGTATACAGATTTATATAATACACACTCATCACCTTAAAAGAAAATACAGAACTGCAAGTAAGTTTCCTGTCACAGATTGGACATTTAATTGTGATATAACAGTTTATAGTGATTAAAACAAAGTCTTTTAATTACAGTATGTTTTGTACGAGATAGATTTTTCGTATCAAGAAAACAACCAATGAAATTCGGGGAAACATATGAGCCATTCACCCTGACAGGTCAAGCATATAAAACTACAATAGTTTGTGGTTACTGGTAAAAAAAAAAAGTTTTAAAATTAACAATTTATTTAAAAAGACTGCTTCAATTGATTCTTGTTACAAAGTTATTGTCAAATAAATCCAAGACCATAATTTTGTTCAAGTACTTAAAATTTTAAAGTTTAAAGGTTTTTTGAAGGCAATTATTAAACTCCATTGGCTGTTTTTAATTTTGATAGAATATATATAGAATATGAAACAATAAGATTTATACTGAAAATAATTATTTTTTATGAAACAGAAAAAGTTTTACAGTAAGAAACAAATACAGTGTGAAATCTACATAAAACAAAGGTGGAGACAAAAAAACATATTAAAATCTCGATTCTCAGAGATCTGTAGATTTAAGACACAACATATCTTATATTCTAATGTTAACACCGATCAATGAAATCAGTGTTGTAGATACATACACATATGATGAAATAATAAACCAAAGTTTAAAAAGAAAAAATGTCTCCCACAACAATATGACAATATGTAAATATTTGTGGGGATGTCAGCAGCTTCATAAGAACTACATGGTTGTGGTGCTTTGCCCATTGATCTAGAGTTTATAGTCAGCACAGTTGTTGGAGGAAACACTGTATCCATTGTAATATGGCTTGTAGACTTCATTGTAAATTCCAGCAATTTGAACAAACATAACGAGAACAGAATGTAATGCAGCGATATTACCTTGGACATCAGAGATCATATTTGCCACAGCTTTAACAATAAGCATTAAAAAATAAAAAAGAAGAAAAAAGATGTATGAGTGTACAGACATCAGAAATAAAATACAAAATGAAAAGTTTCTACTATATAATCAGCATTCGTAAAAACCAATAATGTTTCAAGTTTCCATCAATGTAGGGTCAAAATAATATGGCAATTGCTTATAAAATCTGTACAAAAAAGAATTTTTCAGCGAGACAGTGAAAAATAATTCCAGAATTTGACTAGCTAAATATTTGTCTTTTTTTAAAAGGAACTTGGACGTTACTGGTTTAGTAATGCTGAAACTACCAATACATTTCTTGTTCACCTCATATACCAAAGTAGATTGTCTCCCTTTGATTTCATGTATAGAGGCATCAAGAGTATAATTTCTTAAAACTTAAATGAATTTTCTTTAATATTATTATGTCATTACACCATTGCTATATAACCTACATGCATATATAGGTAGTAAAAGTAGAAACTGATCTCATGATCATATCTCAATGAATATCATTTCAATATGTCAAAAATTATTTTAACTTTAAGTCATACAGGCTTTTTATACCGATACATATCAAGATATCAAGATATATTTAAATGTTAAACAATAAAATTGAAAAGTCAAGATTACTTCAAAAGTTAAAACATTAAAAGGTAATGAAGTTATTCCAGCTGGTCGTGTAGTGCTTGTAAAAACTTATCACCGAAACCCTCTTACCATGTCCATCACAAAGTTAAGCCATAACTTACATTCTAAAAAAGCTTTCCTGATTTTTTTAAAAGGAGGCATGCATTTAAATGAAAGAAAATGCTTGGCTGAAGTCTAAAGAACTGGGTGGAATTCCAGGTTATGTAGAGGCCGGACAGAAATGGTGATGAACAACTTGACAACATCAAAATAAGTGTAACACTGACAACAGTTCTACACATACCGATCTCTTTTATGTTTTTTACTCTTCTTTTTCCTCTGTCTTCTCTCTGGGGAACTACTGTCTTCCCTGTAAGAAAGAACATCATCAAATCACACAAAGTTTAGGAAGAAAAATACAACCAAACATGGTATAGAATCAAGCTCCAATATTTACCACATGAAAAATTACTACCAGGGTTTTTTTTCTCTAGCAATAACCTTGTGCCTAGTAAAAAGTCGACCAATATTTATCAATGTTGTCATTTCATTACCTTTAAACATGAAGTAGCAGGTCTGAATTGGTTTTCTTGTTTGGGAAATGGACGACAAATAAAATATCAGTTTGCAGTCCAGTTTAATTTGTTTGGGAAAAAGAGGACAGACAAACAGAATATGTGTTGGCAGTCCTGTCTAATCTGTTTGGGAAATAGAGGGCAAATCTGTTTGAGTAATAGAGGACAGATGAAGAGAAAACTTGTTGGCAGTCCTGTCTAATCTGTTTGGGAAATAGAGGGCAAATTTGTTAGGGGAAAAAAAGGACAGACAAACAGAATATTTGTTGGCAGTCCTGTCTAATCTGTTTGGGAAATAGAGGGCAAATCTGTTTGAGTAATAGAGGACAGATGAAGAGAAAACTTGTTGGCAGTCCTGTCTAATCTGTTTGGGAAATAGAGGACCAACAAAATATCTGTGGGAAGTCCAGATTAATTGGTTTGGGAAATAGAAGACAGACAAACAGAATCCTAGAGTGGTCTTGTACACAAAACAAATGCTTGGGAGTTTTTTTTTACCATACAGTGGTAAACCAACTTTCAACAGAACAATTTTTGTATCCTTGGGAGTTTTTTTACCATACAGTGGTAAACCAACTTTCAACAGAACAGTTTTTGTATCCTTGGGTGTTTTTTTACCATAAAGTGGTAAACCAACTTTCAACAGAACAGTTTTTGTATCCTTGGGTGTTTTTTTACCATACAGTGGTAAACCAACTTTCAACAGAACAATTTTTGTATCCTTGGGTGTTTTTTTACCATACAGTGGTAAACCAACTTTCAACAGAACAGTTTTTGTATCCTTGGGTTTTTTTTTACCATAAAGTGGTAAACCAATTTTCAACAGAGCAATTTTTGTCTCCTTGGGTGTTTTTTTACCATACAGTGGTAAACCAACTTTCAACAGAACAATGTTTGTATCCTTTGGTGTTTTTTTACCATACAGTGGTAAACCAACTTTCAACAGAACAGTTTTTGTATCCTTGGGTGTTTTTTCAGTATCAGGAGGTACAGCCTCCCAGACAATGCTTCTTGGCACATTGAAGCTTACAAGTACAAACTACCAGTATCATGCCATCTCTTTTAAAAACAATGGTAAAACTGACTTCTTCAATGTACTTTACTTTCCTATCTCCATTCCCAAAAGAGTTCCTTGTTCTTTTAATCTGATTGGATGTCTACATAGAATCCAATGCTATAATTGACTTAAAAAATGTATTAAATGTGCCCACCTTCTTCATCACTAACAATGCCTATTGAACAGGTCTATAACTTGTAATACAATTTGTAGTACAATAAGATTTATCATGATAGCATCAGTAATAGAACAGAATACAAACTTGAAACACAATCATATTTTTGGTAAAACTACAATGAATATTGGTGGGTAATTAGATGTGTTGGTATTTCAACATAACTGCAACAGATATGGGTGGGCTTATTACTGGTCATGGGCCTACCTAAAGAATACTTAATGAGAGTTCAAGGTCAAGGTGAAAGGTTACATCATACCTTGATTTTGATTTCTTTTTCCGCTTCGGAGGTGGAGAGAGTGATCGTTCTGATGAACTGGAATCCCGTACTATACTGTAGAATCAAAAAAAAAATTGTTATTAGAACCAAAATAACACTTCTTTCACAATGTCAAAACATTTTTTTAAAAGTAATTTTCTCAATCAACAAATGTATCTGATTACATACATATATGTGTCTAACAGTAGTACCCAATCCCATTACAAGGTTTATCAATAGATTCTCTTCAGAAAACACCTGTGATAGAATGAACAAAAACTACAACTGGTTTTAAGAACAGAAATAACCTCAGTTCTCATTTCACATACCAGGATTAAACTGACCTGTTCTAAAAAGTTAATTACTAAGGGTCTTCATCGAAAAAAGTAGTATAGACGTACATTTTGGCAATATAAGTTAAATCTTAAAACATTATCTTCAATTGTTTTCTTGAAGTATATTAGCAGATATTCCAGCTAGCAGCTGGGCAAATTGATGTCCTTAGATTCTACAGATCCTTGTTGTTGAAGGGATTTATCAAACAAATATGAAGACCTGCATCCACCAGCGGACAACATGTGATGTTGCAGCATCTTGACCTTTGGCCTTTATTTACTTTGATGATTAACATTTATTTGACCTTAAAAACCTTTAATAAACTCCCTAAAGCTCATCTGTATCTGCTTTGACACATTTTAAGACCATTATGGCAATTGGAATAAGTAGTTACAATATTTGCTAAATTCATTGCACCAGATGACATTGAACGGAGGCCAAGATATTAAAATCTTAGCAAATTAAGAGACTTTAATCTGAGAAACAAACAGGCATAATGACTCTTAGCCTTACAATGTTTGAGAAGAAGTGGAAATCAAGAATATGTAACATATATGAAGATGTATAAGTTTGAACTTCTGGATCAGGCAAACTTAGAAAAAAAGACCATTAGCTGTCTTGATATATCTTTGACTAACAATCTGAAGTGTACGAAAGCATATTGACTTCATCAAGAGGCAAGTCAGAGTTCCAATTTCCCCTGTAAAAATTTGAAATAACTTTCCTTTTAGATTCACAAAAGAAAAAACAAGAATATGTCTAGTAAAATATACAAATGTATCTGCTATTATTATTGCTATATAAATAGAAGGAATGGTGACTTAGCATTTGAACTATGAAATACAACCTCCTTCATAGTTTTCTCAAACTTGGTGGTTGTATCAACTTTTATCAAAATCCCAATAGAAAACTACTCATGGCAACTGAAGGAAAAAACAAACATTTTGGAAAACAGCTTCATAATGTCATTACTAAATATGCATCCATGAAAAGATACAAAATTCAACAATGCCCCTGACCTTGACCTTTGCCTCAATGACCACGAAATTTAGTCAGCTGACCCCTTGTTTATTCTGACCAACTTTGCTTCATAATATCATCACAAAAATATGCATCTGTGAAAAATATAAAAAACTTGACCTTCATCTTTGCCAGAGTGACCTTGAGGTTTAGTTAATTCACTCCTTATTAATTCAAATCAACTGCTTCATAATGCTATAAAAATATGCAACAGTGTAAAAATACTAAATCTGACCTTGACCTCTGATCCAGTGACCTTGACTTTGGATCAGTTGATTCCTTGTTAAATTCAGACCAACTCTGCTTCGCAATTTCATAATAAATGAAGCAATACAGATATGTTTGGCATCCCATTACACGCCTATATACTGAATTTAGTCAAAAACGGATAATATCTAAATTCTGACCAATCAAAGGCCAGGATTATGTTGCTGTGTTGCCATAATAATTGTTTCTGAAAAACCTAGCAAATCCTACTATAGATTTTTATTAACATAGTTATACCTTTCGGCTACAGTCAAATAATAGAATCTGTTGGATAATCAACGAGTAATGGAGATTTATACTAAAACCTTTATACAGTTACCAGTTATGTGGAAAATAAATTTTCGGGGACCAAAGTTGTATGCATATCTATATATGGCCCTTTACATTGTTAACAGTTCATCAGTTTCTGGGAGAGTTGTCCAGACAATATTTAAGGATGACAGACATCCAGAGAGGCCAGGTGATTACAGTACACCCTTCTAACTTGCTGTGGGGGTTGGGGGTGGGGGGGGGGGTTTCCCCGGGTACACCGGTTTCCTCCCACACTAAGACCCCTCCCACGCTTCCATCTGAGCCAACAAAAGAGTGAATAATTTAAGTTGGAAAAACTTTGTAATTGTTGTAAAATAAAGATTATGTATTTATTTTATTTATTTATCACTGGAGTGATGAATTTAACAATTAACATTCTATGTTACCCTTCCACCCCACACCATATGGAATAGCATGTACGCCAAAATAAAATAAATATTCTTCATTTATCACTGGTATCTGGACAGTGGTCAGAACATACACAGCCATGTTACCTCACAGTCATTGTTTATTTTGAAACAGGCCAGGCCACATTGAAAACCTCTCCTGGAATAGCAGTCTTGCATCCTCATAAAGGTAATAGGCATGCACACAATATCTATTAAGGAACATCCTAGGAAATGATTTTCTGTCTAATGTCTGGAGCATAATGCAATTTAGAAAACCTTAAATTCAGAAGTAACCAAAACCACATTTACAAAATTAAATGTGATTGTATATCTCTTTTATATATGTACAGGAGCATTCTGGTAAAATCCAGCTTTATATGCACTCTCTATCACTATTGTGACCTTGTTTGACAACAGTGGCATGTTCTGTCATGATGACTGTAGTGTTAATCAAGATACATTTAGTTGTCTGCAGTGTTTGTAGGAGTTAAGTTGATGACAGTGTTTGTATGAGACATTGAGTTGATGACAGTGTTTGTATGAGACACTGAGTTAAGTTAATGACAGTGTTTGTATGAGACACTGAGTTGAGTTGATGACAGTGTTTGTATGAGACACTGAGTTGAGTTGATGACAGTGTTTGTATGAGACACTGAGTTAAGTTGATGACAGTGTTTGTATGAGACACTGAGTTGATGACAGTGTTTGTATGAGACACTGAGTTGATGACAGTGTTTGTATGAGACACTGAGTTGATGACAGTGTTTGTATGAGACATTGAGTTGATGACAGTGTTTGTATGAGACACTGAGTTAAGTTGATGACAGTGTTTGTATGAGACATTGAGTTGATGACAGTGTTTGTATGAGACACTGAGTTGATTGATGACAGTGTTTGTACGAGACATTGAGTTGATGACAGTGTTTGTATGAGACACTGAGTTAAGTTGATGACAGTGTTTGTATGAGACATTGAGTTAAGTTGATGACGGTGTTTGTATGAGACATTGAGTTGATGACAGTGTTTGTATGAGACACTGAGTTAAGTTGATGACAGTGTTTGTATGAGACACTGAGTTAAGTTGATGACAGTGTTTGTATGAGACACTGAGTTAAGTTGATGACAGTGTTTGTATGAGACATTGAGTTGATGACAGTGTTTGTATGAGACATTGTTTGATGACAGTGTGTATGAGACACTGAGTTAAGTTGATGACAGTGTTTGTATGAGACATTGAGTTGAGTTGATGACAGTGTTTGTATGAGACATTGAGTTGATGACAGTGTTTGTATGAGACACTGAGTTAAGTTGATGACAGTGTTTGTATGAGACACTGAGTTAAGTTGATGACAATGTTTGTATGAGACACTGAGTTGAGTTGATGACAGTGTTTGTATGAGACACTGAGTTGAGTTGATGACAGTGTTTGTATGAGACATTGAGTTGAGTTGATGACAGTGTTTGTATGAGACATTGAGTTGATGACGGTGTTTGTATGAGACATTGAGTTGAGTTGATGACGGTGTTTGTATGAGACATTGAGTTGATGACAGTGTTTGTATGAGACATTGAGTTCATGACAATGTTTGTATGAGACATTGAGTTGAGTTGATGACGGTGTTTGTATGAGACACTGAGTTAAGTTGATGACAGTGTTTGTATGAGACATTGAGTTGATGACAGTGTTTGTATGAGACATTGAGTTGATGACAGTGTTTGTATGAGACACTGAGTTAAGTTGATGACAGTGTTTGTATGAGACATTGAGTTGATGATGACAGTGTTTGTATGAGACACTGAGTTAAGTTGATGACAGTGTTTGTATGAGACACTGAGTTGAGTTGATGACAGTGTTTGTATGAGACACTGAGTTAAGTTGATGACAGTGTTTGTATGAGACATTGAGTTGAGTTGATGACAGTGTTTGTATGAGACACTGAGTTAAGTTGATGACAGTGTTTGTATGAGACATTGAGTTGATGACAGTGTTTGTATGAGACACTGAGTTGAGTTGATGACAGTGTTTGTATGAGACATTGAGTTGATGACAGTGTTTGTATGAGACACTGAGTTAAGTTGATGACAGTGTTTGTATGAGACATTGAGTTGATGACAGTGTTTGTATGAGACATTGAGTTGATGACAGTGTTTGTATGAGACACTGAGTTAAGTTGATGACAGTGTTTGTATGAGACATTGAGTTGATGACAGTGTTTGTATGAGACATTGAGTTGATGACAGTGTTTGTATGAGACATTGAGTTGATGACAGTGTTTGTATGAGACATTGAGTTAAGTTGATGACAGTGTTTGTATGAGACATTGAGTTCATGACAATGTTTGTATGAGACACTGAGTTGAGTTGATGACAGTGTTTGTATGAGACACTGAGTTAAGTTGATGACAGTGTTTGTATGAGACACTGAGTTGAGTTGATGACAGTGTTTGTATGAGACACTGAGTTGATGACAGTGTTTGTATGAGACACTGAGTTGATGACAGTGTTTGTATGAGACACTGAGTTGATGACAGTGTTTGTATGAGACACTGAGTTGAGTTGATGACAGTGTTTGTATGAGACACTGAGTTGATGACAGTGTTTGTATGAGACATTGAGTTGATGACAGTGTTTGTATGAGACATTGAGTTGATGACAGTGTTTGTATGAGACATTGAGTTGATGACAGTGTTTGTATGAGACACTGAGTTAAGTTGATGACAGTGTTTGTATGAGACACTGAGTTAAGTTGAT